ACCCCGAGTCCCGCTGCGGCCGGGCGCGCATGCGCGGAGGTGAGCGGGCAGGGGTCGGTCCCCGAGCGCAGGCCGGGCTGCCGGGCGGATCGGTCGCCGGCGCTTTCCTCAGAGGAAAAGTTGAGCAAATCGTCGCGGGGGTCGCGGGGGTGGCGGGCCCCAGCGGGCGGGCGCAGTGGGGAGAGTGACCCCAGTAACGCGGAGGGCCCCGGAAACCTGGGGCTCTCGTCTCTCCCCCAGCGCTCAGCGTGCCGCGTCTCGGGGAAACTGAGGCACGGGGAGGTTGAGGAACCTTCCTTCGGCCCAGGGCTGCCCGGGGTAGCATCCCAGGGAGCCGGGTTTGAACCCGCTCGTCCACACCCTGCCCTGCCCGGGAGGGCCGCGACTCCAGCCACTTCCCTGAACCGGAGCCTGACCGGTCTCGGGGCCGGCTCTGGCCGCTCGAGCCCTGACCTGTGGTTCTTCCCTATTTTTCTCTCTAAATTGTCAGGCCTAGAGATGAACGGGGAACCGGCCTCCTGTCTTAACACGGCTGGGGGCTGCCTGTCCCCATTTCGAGGATCTATTTCCCTTCCTGGTGGAGGTGGTGTCCTGTCCTGGCCGTGCCCTTGAGTCACCTCTGCCGCTTCTGCAAGAGGCAGATGCCTGGACCCTGTCCCCGCCGCTGAGCTCCATATCCCCGTGTGGCCTCCTGGGCTAGACGAGTCCCTGGGGTCGGATGTGTCTAGGAGGGCCAGGTGCAGCTGAGACTGCTCGCTGCATGACAGAAAGTGAATATTTGATCTCTGTCACTGGTTCGTGGCACACAGCTCCTAAAACCCCTGGAAACTGGGGAGTGTTGCTAATGGCAATGACTGGTGGCTGGGAGCCCCCAGATAGCTTTAGAATGGGGGCTGGCCCTTAGGAAGCCCAAGACTTGAGTAGAGGGTGGGGACTTCAGCCCCACCCCATCACTTACCGCCAGGGTGGGTGGAGGGGCTGGAGTTAATCCCCAGTAGCCCATGAATTAATCAATCATGCCTATGTAATGGAACCCCTGTAAAAACCTCTGAACACAGGGTTCAGAGAGCTTCCAGGAGGTGGAGGGAGGGTAGGCGCTATGTGTGGTGTCAAGGGTCACGAGTAAATCAGTTCACTCTCGAACGCAGCAGCCCTAATTCACCAGTGGCCCACGTGGAGCACCGAGCTCTGCTGCGGCTCATTGTTCCCAGCCGACCCTCTTGTCACCAGGACAGGGCAGACTCCCTCAGCACCCTGCGTTCACTGCTACTTGGTGTGTGACTTCTCCCAGTATGTATGTGTTCGTGGTGGCTGTGAGACTGTCTCACAGACCTCTCGCTGCAGGGAGCTTCACTGACCAGGGGCCCAGTCGCTGTGCTCTGAAACCCGCCACCACATCTGCTCCACGGCCCGTTCCTGGGAGACCCAGACCCCTCTGATGGCCAGCTTTCACTCAAGGACCCCCAGGGTCTCCCCATGGCCTTGCTGCTAGGACACTTTGACCCACCCTCCCTTCTCCTTCCTTCCTGTGGGGTCAGACTTGCTACCCCGGGCAGCCCTGGGCCGGTCGGTGTGATGGCTCTTTTCTGTCTTCTCTCAGATAAAAAAGACTCCCCTAGTAAAATGCTTGCACTTTAGTCCCATGTGGGTGCCTGCTGCTCCTCGGAGGAGCCAGACTAATACCGTGTTCTTATAAAATGTTTAGAACATACATATAAGCAAAACAAAGGTAGCGATCACTTGTTAGTCTTAAAGTAACACGGGCCCTGTATCTCATCCGAACTTCACATCCTTATGGTTGTCTCTGTGCCTGCAAGGCTGCAGGTGCGGCTGCCATAGCAGAGACCGGGTTTCTCCCCTGTGTTCTGCAGAGTCCGGGAGGGGCTCTGATCTGGGGACCAGCCACAGCTAACGTGTAGAAGCTGCTTCGAGAGTCCCCGTGAGGCCCCTCTTGCCTCCCCCATTGAGCTGGCTCCGTCTCTCAGCAGGCCTCCAGGAGCTGTCCACAGGCACCATGGATGTGAGGTGGCCATCCTGCCCCCGCCCCCTGCTGGGGATCTGCACATTCATCTCCCTGGCCATAGCTGCCCTCCTGGGGCACATCCTGCTCCATGATTTCCCAGTGGTCCCCCAAGATCTGGGTGGCTTCTCACAAGTACTGAAGGAGACTCACCATGCTCGCCAGCAGGGAGCCAGTGGGCCGGGGCCCTGGCACGCCCAGGAGCACCCTGGCCATCCCGGAGGAGTGCCCACACAGTGTGACATCCCCCCCAACAGCCGCTTCGACTGTGCCCCAGACAAGGCCATTACACAGGAGCAGTGTGAGGCCCGTGGCTGCTGCTACGCCCCTGTGAGGCAGGTGCAGAAGGACTCCCAGATGGGCCAGCCCTGGTGCTTCTTCCCACCCAGCTACCCAAGTTACAAACTGGAGAACCTGAGCACCTCCGAGACGGGCTACGTGGCTACCCTGACCCGCGCCAGCACCACCTTCTTCCCAAAGGACATCCTGACCTTACGGCTCGATGTGCTGATGGAGACTGAGAGTCGCCTCCACTTCACGGTGAGCAGGGTGGGGGCCGGGCAGAGAGGACAGAGGGTGCGTGTGGATAGATGACACACAAACACGTCACAAGGGGTGGCGGGTGTGTGGTACAACTGCAGTGTGGTCACTGGGAGCTGACGTGGGAGCAGACACCCAGGGAGCAGCGGGGACACTCATGGTGACAGATGCTCTAGAAGTCAGGGACAAGGGCACAGGTGGGGGGAGGGTAGGCCTCCCCTAGGAAGTGATGTCTCAACTGGGACCTGTGGTTCCAGACAACAGGCAGTGGGATCCCAGCCTCTGATCGCACGCTGGTGGCAGGGCCTCTCTTATCCCCTGCTGCTCCACCCCACCAGGGTCTGGCATGTAGCAGGTGCTCAGTGAAACCTTGTCAGCTGAGTGAATGTGCAGACGCAGGGTGAGAGCCAGAGGCCCACACTTCAGCATGGCCCTGTTGCTTTAGAAAGTGATTGAAACAGCTGTCACTTCTCGAGTGATTTCCATGACCAGACAAGGGCTCAGGGCTTTCATTATATTTTCTCGCTCACCCTTATGACAAGTTGGGTCAGGTGGAAGAGGGAGGCTAAATGGAGCACATAAAAGCACAGGATGTCCAGTACCTCTGAATTCCAGATAACCAAGGAATGACTTTTTTTTTAGTGTAAGCATATCCCGTGCATTATTTGGGACATACTTATACTAAAAAACATTGTTGATCTGAAATTGAGGTTTACTGGGCGTCCTGTATTTTACTGACAGCCCAAGAGAAGTGTCCTCCTGCTGGCTCTGTAGATGAGGAAAGCGAGGCTTAGAAAGACTGACAGCCTGCCCACGCTCACAGGCAGTGTGCGGCCGTGCCAGGACCCGCACTGACCGCTCGCTCAGGAACTGTCTCTCCAAGGAGTGAAGGGGGCTGTGGGGGGGCGCATAGGGGGTGGCCGCCCAGCCCACAAAGGGCCTCATACCCCACCGTCTTTCTGTTCTCTTCTAGATCAAAGATCCTGCTAACAGGCGCTATGAGGTGCCCTTGGAGACCCCACAAGTCCGCAGCCGGGCGCCGTCCACTCTCTACAGTGTGGAGTTCTCCGAGGAGCCCTTTGGGGTGGTTGTTCGCCGGAGGTTGGACGGCCGGGTGCTGTGAGTGCCTGGCCTCTGTGCTGCTGTCCTGCGGGGGAGGGTCGGCAGCCCCTCAAGGCGGGAGCCTCCTGGAGGGCACACAGCATTGTCCCCCAGCTCTTGTCTGCCATTGACCCCAACCGTTATGGTCCACCCTCCCAGTCGGGGCCTCCTAGCCGTTTCTGGAACAGCTTGAGCACACGCCCACCGAGCCCCTCCACCTGGAGCTCTCCCTAGTTCTTGGCCAGGTGCCTCCCTCGCCGCTGTCTGGTCTCAAAGGTCTCCTCTAAGAGGCCCTCCCTGACCATCTAGTGCAGGGCTGCCCAGGAGACATTTGGTGGGGTCTGGAGACGTTTTTGGTTGCCACAACTGGGGGGATACCACTGGCACCTAGAGGGTCGAGGCCAGGGATGCTGCTCAGCATCCTGCATTGCCCAGAACAGCCCCATGAGAAAGGGCAACCGGCCCAGCGTCCACAGTGCCAGAGAAACTCCAGTCCAGTCTAAAGCGGCACCTCTGCTCCAGGCAACATGCCCTTAGCTGGCTTTATTTTTATTTTATTTGTTTATCAAATACCTGCATACTCCTTACTATGCGCTGGGCACTAAGATTATTAACTCTCTTAATCCTTGTAGCAACTCAGAAGTAGGTGCTATTATTATCCCCTTTCTGCAGATGAGAAAGCTGAGGCACAGAATGGTGAGGTCACCTGCTGGCTGGTGACAGAGCCAGGGCTCCAGGCCAGGAGTGGCCCCAGCATCCCTGCTGTCGGCCACTCTCTGTGCTTCATGTCCTTGGGGGCTCGTGTCCCCCAACGTGATCCCGGGTTTGTTTGTATCGCTGCCATTCTCTGGCTGTGGCAGGCGACTTTCCCAATTCGTTCACTCTTGACCAGTAGCTCTTAGCTCAGCATTGACCCACAGCAGGCCCTGGGCCAGGATTTGCTGAGAGAACAGGCAGCTCGGGGGTCACACCCTCGCCTCCCCCCGCCCCAGGTAGGGGATGCACAGAGGCATCGTGGAGTCCACTTTCAGACTCAAGTGTTGTAGCCGTGACACCGAGTGGTCAACACGGCCCCCTCCTCAACAAGGAGGGACCCTTGGACCCAGAAGTGCAAGTTGCCCAGCCGTCAGGCTTGGTTGGTGGTTCTGCTGAAACCTCCTGTCTGCCCCAATGCTGGACTGTGCAGCCACATTTTTCATGGGACCCTGTGTCCTTTACCACATAGTTGCAAATCCCACACAAATGTGCTCAGAACTGATGGACCCTGCTTGTCATTCGACTCAGGTGAATGCCCAAGAAGGACATTGTTTGGGTTTGCCTTAATCTTAAGAGAGTACAACCTTTGAAAATGCGTTTCTCTCTTCTGCTCATTCAGTTATTCAACCTCATTTGTTTTTGTTGTTTATTGAAACATAATTGATTACACGCATTTGTGGTGTACAGAGTTAACTGTCAATACCTATTTACAATATGTGATGATCAGATCAGGATTGTTAGTATATTCATCATCACAAAATGTAATCATTCCCTGTGACCCTTTATCAATTTCTTGCTAAGTCCCCTTTCCTCCCCCTTTCCCACCTCTGGTAACCTCTGTTCTGTTCTCTCCTTTTGAAAGTTTGATGTATTTATTGTGATTGTTGTATCTTTCTTTCTTTTTTACTTATTTGCCTATTGTTTCAGCTCCCACTTATGAGTGAGAACATACGGTATTTCTCTTTCTGTGCCTGGCTTACTTCACTTAATTTTCTCCAAGCTCATGCATGTTGCTGTGAATGGCAGTATTTCATTCTTTTTTATGGCTGAGTAGTATTCCACTGTGTGTATATACTACATTTTGCTTATCCAGTTGTCTGATGATGGACATTTAGGTTGGTTCCATATTTTGGCTATTGTAAATAGCACTGCAATAAACATGGGAGTGCAGGTGTCCGTTTAACATGATGATTTCCACTCCTTTGGGTGTATACTCAGCAGTGGGATTGCTGGATCATATGGCAGTTCCATCTGTAGTTGTTTGAAGAACTCCATACTGTTTTCCATAATGGCTGCACTAATTTACAGTCCCACCACCAGCGTAGGAGGGTTCCCCTCTCTCCCCATCCTCACCAGCATTTGTTATTTTCTGTCTTTTTGATAATGACCAGTCTAACTGGGGTGAGATAACATCTCAGTGTGGTTTTATTTGCATTTCTCTGACGCTTAGTGATGTTGAGCATTTTTGATGTGTCAGTTGGTCATTGGTGTATCTTTCTTTGAGAAATGCCTGTTCAGCTCCTTTGCCCATTTTTTATTTGGATTACTTGTTTTTTTACTGTTAAGTTGTTTGAGTTCCTTCTATATTCTATATATTAATCCCTTGTCAGATGCATATTTTGCAAATATTTTCTCCCATTCTGTAGGTTGTCTTTTCATTCTGTTAATTGCTTCTTTTGCTGTGCAGAAGCTTTTTTATATAATCAAAGTTTGATATAATCCCATCTGTTTATTTTTCCTTTTGTTGCCTGTGCTTTTGGGGTCATATTCATAGTGTTTACCTTATGTTTTCTTTTAGGAGTGTTATAGTGTCAGGTCTCATATTTAAGTCTTTAATCCATTTTGAGTTGATTTTGGTATATGGTGAAAGGTGAGGGTCTAGTTTTATTCTTCTACATATAAATGTCTAGTTTTTCCAGCACCATTTACTGAACAAGCCATCTTTGCCCCAGTGTATGTTCCTGGTGCCTTTGTTGAAGATCAGTTTCCTGTGAGTATGTGGATTGATTTCTGGGTTCTCTATTCTGTTCCATTTGTCCGTGAGTCTGTTTTTTTGCCAGCACCATGCTGTTTGGATTACTATAGCTTTGCAGTGTAATTTGAAGTCAGGTAGTGTGATGCCTCTGGCTTTATTTTTTTTGCTCAGGGGTGCTTTGGCTGTTCAGGCACCACATTGATGTTAAGATTGTTTTTTCTGTTTCTGTGAAGAATGTCATTGGTATTTGATGGGGACTGCATTGACTCTGTAGATCTCTTTGGTTGGTATGGACCTTTTCATAATGTTAATTCTTTCAATCCAAGAGCATGGAATGTCTTTTCATCTTTTTGTGTCCTCTTTAATTTCTTTCAGTAGTGATTTGTAGTTCACATTGTAGAGACTTTTCACCTCCTTTATTAAATTTATTCTTATGTATTTTATTTTTTTGGTGGCTGTCATAAATGGGCTTGCTTTCTTGATTTCTTTTTCTGCTAGTCAATTGTTGGAGTATAAAAATGCTGATTTTTGCATATTGATTATATATCCTGCAACTTTACTGAAATCGTTTATCAGTTCTAAGAGTTTTCTGATAGAGTCTTTAGGTTTTTCTATATATAGGATCATGTCATCTGTACACAGGGACAGTTTGACTTCATCTTTTCCAATTTGGATGCCCTTTATTTCTTTCTCTTGTCTGATTGCTCTGGCTCATACTTCCAGTACTGTGGTAGATAGGAGTGGTGAGAGTGGGCATCCTTGTCTTGTTCCTGTTCTTAAAGGATCATTCAGGATGATGATGGTGGTGGGTTTGTCATATATGGCTTTTATTGTGTTGAGATTTTTTCCTTCTGTTCCTAATTTGTTGAGAGTCTTTATCATGAAGTGATGTTGAATTTTGTCAAATGCTTTTTATGCGTCTATAGAGTTAATCATATGATTCTTGTTTTTGAGTCTGTTGATGTGTGTATCACATTTATTGACTTGAGTATGATGAACGATCCTTTGAGGATAGGGACTTCCTCCTATAGCTGTGTTTGATATTGACCATTGGGTAGGGTGTTTTAGTATTGGTTCTGGGTAGATGCAGTGGTGTAGTCTCCATGTAGGTACTTAGGCTGTATTCAGGGTTGGAATAAGTACCTAAGTACCTACATGGAGAGGTAGTAGAGAGCTCTGCAATCAGTGGGTTGCAGAGCTGACCAGGCCATGCCACACTCTTCGGACACCAGGCCCATGGGTAAGGGTGCTCTTTGGGAGAATCTACCTCGGGTTTGTGTGGCCCTGAGGGGGCAAGGGAGCCTGGTCTCTCCTGCAGGCTGAACACGACCGTGGCCCCCCTGTTCTTCGCTGACCAGTTCCTGCAGCTGTCTACCTCTCTGCCATCCCATTACATCACAGGCCTTGCTGAGCACCTCAGCGCCCTGATGCTGAGCACCAACTGGACCAAGATCACTCTCTGGAATCGGGACATGGCACCCACGGTAAAGGGGGTTGGCCGGGGCTGGGGCGGGTATGCATGGTCTGGCATCATAGGAGCTAAAACGCTGTCTCCTGTTGTCCAGCCCAACGTGAACCTCTATGGGTCCCACCCTTTCTACCTGGTGCTGGAGGATGGTGGATCAGCCCACGGGGTGTTCCTGCTGAACAGTAATGCCATGGGTAAGCTGCTTGCGGGGCCTGAGTCCCCCAACGTGGGGGCTCCTCTGCTTTGCGGGAGAGTGCTGTACCCACCTCGGAGGCTGGAGGTCCATGATATGGGCTGTGGGCACCGGATTAAGCCTGGTTTTCTCATCTGAGAAGTGAGTCCAGTGGGCTGAGTCCTCTCCCAGCTCTGCCCATCTGTGCCCCTGAAGTGGGGTTCTGTGATCCTTGCCCTGGAGGTGAGCAGAGGCCAGAAAGGGGAGTCTCAGGTTCCAGCTGCTGGTGTCCATCTGTCCTGCACCAGGTCCCTCAGCAAGTCAGACTCAAAAGAGCTGTCGCCCCTTCCCACCCCACCCAATTCGCACCCTACCCCACCACGCTGCTCCTGGCTCCCTGTCAGAAGAGCCTCACTCTCCAGCTGTGGTTTGGCCCATCTGAGTGGTGTGGGGGCCCTGTGGGTATGGTATTTGTGCCTGACCCAGGACTGCTCCCCCCAGATGTGGTCCTGCAGCCAAGCCCGGCCCTCAGCTGGAGGTCAACCGGTGGGATCCTAGATTTCTACGTCTTCCTGGGCCCAGAACCCAAGAGCGTGGTGCGGCAGTACCTGGACATTGTGGGTAGGGCCTGCTCCCATCTGTGGCCCCCGCCCCATCCCTGCCTCCCCACCCACTCATGGTTGATGCTGGCCTGCAGGGTACCCATTCATGCCTCCATACTGGGGCCTGGGCTTCCACCTGTGCCGCTGGGGCTACTCCTCCACTGCCATCCTCCGCCAGGTGGTGGACAACATGACCAGGGCCCTTTTCCCCCTGGTGAGTGTGGGGGCAGGTGGTGGGGTGGGGGGATCGGGGCCCAGTGGGTGGGGCTGAAGTGGGAGAGACAAGGAGCTGGGTGGGCAGGTCCCCAGGCCCAGCAGCTGCGCCTGTGCTGCGGCCACAGGATGTCCAGTGGAATGACCTCGACTACATGGACTCCAGGAGGGACTTCACGATCAACAAGGATGGCTTCAGGGACTTCCCGGCCATGGTGCGGGAGCTCCACCAGGGCGGCCGGCGGTACGTGATGCTCGTGGTGAGTGCCAGTGCCCCGTGGCTCCTCCTCCAATTGGCATCTTCCTTGTGCCTGCAGTGGCCACTGAGGACATTTCCTGAGGGTCTTTTTAACATTGAGGGAAGATCAGAAGCTTATGGGCTTGGCCCTGCTGTCCATGGATGTCCAGGTTCAGAGTCCCTGGAAACATCTCTGTGTCACTCAGGATTCTTTCAGTTGTAGGTTTTTTGAACTTGCTTAAAGCAAAGCGGGAGGACAGTGAGCTGATGTCACCCATTCCTGGACATAGGGCTGGACAAAGGAGTGGCTGGAGGGCTCAGCCTGTCTCCTGGCCCTCCCTCTCCCTCTGGCCACCTCTGTCTCCGTGGGAAGGAGGCAGGACCACGGGCAGCTTCCGGCTCACAGCTGTAGTGCTGGCACCACTGGGCAGAGAATGCTTCCCACCAGCTCCACAGAAACATCCCAGGGCAGGACTCCGAGTGGCCCAGCACACACAGGACCTTCCTTGGGCCAGGCCCCATGGCCAGAGGATGCGGTTAGGGGGCTGGTCTAGCCTGAGTCTCACGCTAGGCCCTACGGCTGGGGAGGAATTGCAGGGGGAGGGGATCGCTGAGAAAACCACACAGTCAGCCCCATCGAGCCCTCTCAGTGGAGGAAATCGCACTGCCAGGGGCTTTGGGACTGTGCAGACTGCCCGTGTCCACGGTTGCTCCTCTGACGGCCACACACCGGCCACTCAGAGCAGGCAGGGTGAATGCGGCCTTTTCTCTTTCACGTTCTTACTGTAGAAGTAACTGTTCACTGTGGAACACTTGTGATTCTCTGGAAGGCTTAAAGAAAGGGTAGCGCCCACTCCAGGTGTGCCCACCTTCCATCCACAGGCCCCTCCCGTGCTCACCCAGGCAGGCATGTGCGCGACACGCGCGTGCTGTGCTATGCACAGCTTCACCCTGCCCCTCACTCACTAATGCTATCTCGAGAGCCTTCCCCGTCTCCTGGTGCCAGTGCCAAGACTTTGGGCCATGTCACCCTCATCCTGGCTGCCTTCTCTCCCCCAGGACCCTGCCATCAGCAGTTCGGGCCCTGCCGGGAGCTACAGGCCCTATGACGAGGGTCTGCGGCGGGGGGTTTTCATCACCAATGAGACTGGGCAGCCGCTGATTGGGAAGGTAGAGTCGGGGTCTGCAACTTCAGGCCAGGGTGAGCAGGGTAGCTGTTCAGGAAGTGGGGTGTTCCAGAAACCAGCATGTCCAGTGGGACACAGTGGTGGGGCTAAGTCACAGCTGGGGATCCTTGAATTCTTTCATTGGGGGGTCTTTGGCTTCACTGGCAGCCAGGCCCAGCCCAAACACGAGCTCTGCAGACCCTCAGTGAGGGCTTGGTGTCCTCCTTGTCCTGCTGGCCCCTGACAGTCACCCAGGCCTTGGTCTTGGTCTTGATGGGCAAGACTTGATTCCGGGACCTCCAGGCCTTGGCCTATAGGCGGGGCTTAGATGAGGTTGTCCCCATGGTCCTTCCTGACATTCTCTGACTCTGCAGTTGGACCACCTCCTGGGTAGACGTGTCAGGGGCCTCCCCTTCTCCCAGGGCTGAGTCTCCTGGACCCCCGTGTCCCTGCGTTGTGAGGAGAAGCCTGATCACCAGCCCTGGGCCCAGGGCTCTTGACTTTGCCAGGGTGGACACTAGGAGCGGGCTGCCACTCTACTCACAGCTGAGACGCTGCAGGGACTCAGTGCAGGCTCTGGCTGGGCTGGGGTCTCCCCCTCTCGTCTCTCGTTGTCCAGGTGTGGCCTGGGTCCACTGCCTTCCCTGACTTCACCAACCCCGAGGCCCTTGACTGGTGGCAGGACATGGTGGCTGAGTTCCATGCCCAGGTGCCCTTTGACGGCATGTGGATTGTAAGTGCAGCCCCTGCCCCTGGGCATCCCCGTGGCCTCTGGGAACCAACCCCACCCTCTGCACCCCGGGCAGGGGTGCCCACCGCCAGGGCCTCTCTTGCAGGACATGAATGAGCCTTCCAACTTCGTCAGGGGCTCTGAGGTCGGCTGCCCCAACAACGAACTGGAAAACCCACCCTATGTTCCCGGTGAGCTCTCCCACCCGCCTGTCCCAGGCCTGAATTTAACAGCTCAGATCAGGGATTTCCTTTCTCTGGTCCAGGAGACTCAGCAGAACAGATGGGCAGAGCAAGATAGGAAAGGGGAGGGATGGGGCCCCGGGAGTAAGGTTCAGGTGAGGAGACGCCAGCCAGGTGATGCAGGCGTGGACCCAGGCAGAGGCACAACCCTTGTTAAAGAAAGAGTTATTCAGTGACTCTTGTTAAAACATGGTAAGGAAGTCTTTATTCAGGACCATCGCGACGGGTGCAGGAACCACCACAACTGGGTCTTGCAGTGGCAGAGAAATTGGGCTCAACCCTGAACACAGGATGGGGTCAGTGGATGGGAAGTCCCTGAGAGGGAACACTGGCGGTGAGGGGGATTCTGGCTCGATCAACCTAACAGGATTCTTGCTGAAGGCAAGCCAGGGTGACCAGACATCACCTGGGAATGAGGAAGCTGAGCAGAGTTTGAGGGTGATCAGATATGGAGGCTGGGGGCTTCTTGCTAAAACTGACTTAGCAGGGCTCTTTGCTAAAACTGGACTTTATAAGGAAGTGTACAGATGGCCCAAGCAAAGAATCTTTGTCACCCTTGGTGGGGGGAGGGGCATTAGGCTTAGGCAAACATCAAGAGAAGGTGGATGTGAGGTCGCGGGTCAGCAAAGGGCAGCCTTCAGCACCACCTCTTTCCTGTCTTTGGGAACAGTAGAGGCTATACAAGGTGTGCCCCAAGTTCTGAGGAGTGCGCCAGCTGACGGGGGCAGGGATGGCTGCAGGACGCACCCCCGAGGACAGGCCTGGAGCGGCTGTGACCCACGCAGGGGTTCTGGGGTGTGGGGCAGGGAGGGCTCCATGGAGCCCATGGGGAGGAAGCTCCATGGAAATCAGCCCTCGTCTCTTCTAGGGGTGGTGGGTGGCACCCTGCAGGCGGCCACCATCTGTGTTTCCAGCCACCAGTTCCTCTCCTCACACTACAACCTACACAACCTCTATGGCCTGACTGAAGCCAATGCTTCCCACAGGTGAGGGGCCCCACCTACCCCCATCAGCGCTACCCTCGCCAGCCTGTCCCATCTCAGGGCTGCAGGAAGGGGCCTGGCTCCCACTGGGCCCAGGCAGAAGCCTGGACCCCCAGGCCAGCTGCTGTCCTCCCACTGCCTCCCGGCCCCCAGCTTGTGCCAGTGCTGTCCCCTCCCACTTCACACCTCACATGTGGAGAGGAACCCTGGTGCTGACTACAGAGAGGTCTGCACCCATGGGGACACTGGGACTCCTGCAAGGCTGGGGGACACAGCTCTTCTGCAGGCATGGTGGTGGCCTTGTCTCATCCCAGACAGCCCCGTGCACCCAGCTCTGCCCTCCTGCTGCCCAATCAGGTGCTCCGCTCAGGCAGGGGAGCTGGGGTTCCCGGGGGAGCCCTGGCTGCACAGCTCTCACAGCGTCCCCTGCTCTGTCCAGGGCCCTAGTGAAGGTTCGGGGGACGCGCCCCTTTGTGATCTCCCGCTCAACCTTTGCTGGCCACGGCCAGTATGCTGGCCACTGGACAGGGGACGTGTGGAGCAGCTGGGAGCAGCTTTCCTATTCCGTGCCAGGTGAGAGCACTTGTTGGAGAGAGTGTGGGCCCCTCCAGGGGCAGGTTTGTCCCAGAGCTGGATTCTGGGCCCAGCACAGCTCAGAAGGATGCAGCTTCAATGGTGTGGAGGCGCACTGCCAAGTCACGTGGGGCATGAGGCCTGCTGGCCCCGTGCACCTGTGCAGGTCTGCGCACCTGTGCACGCTGGCTCCGCTATGCAAATCTGCTTATCTGTGTAGGTCTGCTCACCTTTGCAGGTCTGTTCACCTGTGCAGGACTGCTCACCTTTGTAGGTCTGTGCACCTGTGCACACTGGCTCACCTGTGCAAATTGGCTTATCTGTGCAGGTCTGCTCACCTTTGGCACCTGTCTTCTGGGTGTCTGTCTCCAATTCTCCCTAGCCATTGCCTGAGAAGCCATCAGGTTTTCACCTTTCACCATTCCCCTTCTGGCAACCACATTCTAGCTGCAGGAAACTGGGTTTGAGCTCAGCCCACTGCAAAGAGGAATTTGATTTTTATTCCAAGACCTTTGATGCCGTTGACCCATGCGAGGCCCAGAATTGGCTCAGGAGCCATAGGGAAGGGCTTAGGGGATTCCCAGGGCACCATGTGGGCAGCTGGGAAGAGCCTCTTGCAGAACCCCATGGCTCCAAAGCACTGTGACCAGCAGCGGACTCACTTCTGTGTGGGATACATCAGCAGACCCATGGGCCATGGGGGGTCCTCCCTAGCCGAGAGAAGTCAGTCCCTCCTTCTGGAAGGGGCTGGCTGCCTCTACCCATAGTTGGTGTTTCTCACCCCGGGGGCAGGTGGGTGGTGAGGGGGATGGACCTGCCGGGCCAGTGTGGCAGAGCAGGCTCACTGGCTTTGCTCTGACCTTTCTGAGCCTTGTCTTTAAGTTCTCAGAGCTGATTGTTACTAAGCAAAGGTCGTGACTTCCTAGGATTTGTTGCAGCCCAGACAAGAAGTTCCCCGGGGTCCCAGGCTGGGCCCCAGGCCTGCTCTACTGAGTACAGTGCTGGGGCCACGCCAGGCTGGACGAGAAAGAACCTGGAGGCCACCCAACCCCTCAAGCAGCTTGGGGGATGCCCTGGCCTCTCTGGGGTTCTCTGTTAGTTTCCCGTGGCTGCCATAACAAAGCACCAGAAACTCTACTTAAAACAACAGAAATGTATTTTCTCAAAATTTGGGAGACTAGAAGTCTGAAATAAAGGTGTGGGCAGGGCCACACTTTCCTGAGATCCTGGGTAGAATCTCTCCTTGCTGCTTCCAGCTTCCGAAGACTGCCGGCAGTCCTCGGCGTCCTCAGCTCGTGGCTGCCTCGCTCTGGCCTTTGACTGTCACCACACAGCCTTCTCCCTGCGTGTCTTTGTCTTCGCATGGCGTTTTTCTCTTACAAAGACACGTCATTCGATTAGGACCCTAATGACCTAATCTTAACTTGATTATATCTGCAAAGGCCCTATTTCCAAATAAGGTCACATTCACAGGTACCAGCGGTTAGGACTCAAACATATCTTTTGGGGGGACACAGTTCAACCTTTAACAGGCCCAGTATGTTCTGCCCACCCCAGGTGTCATCACTGTTGGCCACGAGTGGAAGATGCAGAGGCAGTGTGGCACTGGCCACCAGGCAGGGGCCTGGGTGACGAGGGACATTAGGAGGGACCTGCACCCCCATGTTCCAGGCTCCTTGGCCTGAACTGGCCCTGCTCTGGTGGCCTGAGGCCCAGCCTGACTCTACCCTCCCAGGCATCCTGCAGTTTAACCTGCTGGGGGTGCCCCTGGTTGGGGCGGACATCTGCGGCTTCCTGGGGAACACCTCGGAGGAGCTGTGCGTGCGCTGGACCCAGCTGGGGGCCTTCTACCCATTCATGCGGAACCACAACGACCTGCACAGCCTGGTAGGGGGTCGCGGGAACCCTGCCCTGGGACATCCATCCCTGCTGGAGACACCTGGCCCTGTGCTGTCCTTCACCTCATGCTGGGTGGCGACTGCAGGACCTGTGGGCCAGCGCCCAGGTGCTTCCTCTGCCCCCTCTGCCCTGCCAGCCACAGGAGCCGTACCGGTTCAGTGACACAGCCCAGCAGGCCATGAGGAAAGCTTTTGCCCTGCGCTACGCGCTGCTCCCGCACCTCTACACGCTCTTCTACAGGGCCCACGTCAGCGGGGAGACTGTGGCCCGGCCCCTCTTCCTGGAGTGAGTGACTTGGGGCAGGGGTAATTGCCATTGTGACCTCGGGGAGAGGCTACCCACCAGCCCCCTGACACCAGGGCAACTGTCTGCTGCAGGCTGTGTTCTCGGGATCCCAGCAGGTTGCAGCTGAGGACACAAGGCCAGAACCTGGACCTCCCTACCAAGGTGCCCCCTTAGATCCCAGCTCAGGGCTGGGGCATCGAGGTGTGGAAAAACCCAGGATGAAGAGCACTGAGTACAGACCAGGCCAGCAGTGATAAAACTGCCCTGGTTGAGCCAGTTTGGGGCTGGCTTAAGGGGAAAGGATGGCAAAGAAATCCAGTAGATGTCCCAATAGATGTACAGGACTTCCTCTACACAAGGAGCTACCTATCGTAGGCTAGAACAGCATCTCAGAGCAGTCAAGAAAAGGAGGATTCTCAAGTAGCAAGATAATTATCAACTATAGAAATCCTTTATTTTCCCCTTGCAAACTTATGCAAACATAAGTTCCAGGTGGATTAAATAGTTAAATGACAAAATTAAGCTGTACAAATTCCACAGGGAAAGACAGTGAATATGTATCGATGTTCTGGCAGGAGATAGCTTTCTAAGCATCAAAGCAGCAGAAAGGGAAGGAGGTTTAATTTTTTTAAAAAAAGTAAAACTGGGGCCAACCCTGTGGCTCACTTGGGAGAGTGCGGCGCTGGGAGCGCTGAGGCCGCGGGTTTGGATCCTATATAGGACTGCTGGTGCACTCACTGGCTGAGCGCGGTGCGGGCAACACCAAGCCAAGGGTTATGATCCCCTTACTGGTCGCAAATAAATAAATAAATAAATAAAATAAAAATAAACAGTAAAACTGAATACAAACAAAAAAATTAAAAGTACTCTGGACATAGATTGTAATGCAAACAAATTAGAGAAAACTTCAATAAGATGATAAATAGTCACTCTTCCTAGTGTGTAAAGAACTCATACCATATTGGGAAGACCAAGATTAAAAACCAAGTAGATAGGGCCGGCCCGGTGGCGCACTGCTACAGTGCGCCGCTTGGGAGCGCGGCAGCGCTCCCGCCGAGGGTTCGGATCCCACATACAGACCAGTTCCCGCTCACTGGCTGAGCGAGGTGCAGGAGCAACACCGAGGGTTGCAATCCCGTTGCCGGTCCCTGGTCCGGTACGGGCGCGACACTGAGGGTTGCGATCCGTTGCCGGACACGAAAAAAGACAAAAAGGAAAAAAAAAAAAAAAACCAAGTAGATAAATAGGCAGAAACACACTTTGCAGAACATGAGATATGAATAGTAGGTGCACACGTGCTGTTACTGTCATTCAAAACATATCTTTATATATGTGTGCCCATCAACACAGATTTATAATAACTGTTTTATGCAGTTGTCTTTTAAGTCAAAAAGGAAGGGAAAAGAGGGTTTCAAACACGAAGTACACTTACATTGCCTTTACATTTACCTGTGTAGTTACCTTTACCAGTGTTCGTTCTTTGTGTGGATTTGAGTTACTGTCTAATGTCCTTTAATTTAGACCAGAAGGACTCCCTTTAGTATTTCTTTTTCTTTTTTTTAAAGATGACTGGTAAGGGGATCTTAACCCTTGGGTTGGTGTTGTCAGCACCACGCTCTCCCAAGTGAGCTAACTGACCATCCCTATATAGGATCCGAACCTGTGGCCTTGGTGTTATCAGCACTGCACTCTCCCGAGTGGGCAAGCCCTGCCCTTTAGTATTTCGTATAGGTTGGGTCTGCTAGTGATGAATTCTGTTTATGTTGATCTGGGAATTTCCCAATTTCTCCTTCCCTTTTTGAAGAATAATTTTGCTCAACATAGAATTCTTGGCATGCATTTGTATTCTTTCAGAGCGTTAACTGTGTCATCTCACTGCCTCTGGGCTCTGTGGTTTCTGATGAGTAGCTTCTCTCTTGCTTCTTTCAAGATTCTTTGTCTTTGGCTTTTGAAGGTTTGATTATGATGTGTCTATTTGTAGATTTCTTTGAGTTTATCCTACTTGGAGTTTGCTGAACTTCTTCAATATGGACATTAATGTTTGTCATCAAATCTGGGAAGTTTACAGCCATTATTTCTTAAAATATTTTTTCTGCCCCTTTCTCTCCTCTCCCTCTGGACTCCAGTTACACGTATGTTGCTGTGCTTGATGGTGCCCCACAGTTCTCTAAGGCTCTGGTCATTTTTTCTTCATTATTTTTTCTTTCGGTTTCTCAGACTGGATACTCCCAATTGACCCGTCTTGGGCTTGCTGATTCCTTCTCTGGCCTGCCCTAACCTGCTGTAGAGCCTCTCTAGTAAATTTTTCATTTTAGTTGTACTCTTTTCAACTCCAGAATTTCTATTTCGTTCTTTTAAATTTTCTGTGTCTTTATGGTTATTCCCTAATTGGTGAGTCATGTTCTTATACTTTCCTTAAGTTCTTTAGACATCATTTCCTTCAGTTCTTTGAACATATTTAAAGTAGCTTACTTAAAGTCTTTGTCTAGTAAGTCCGACATCTGGGCTTCCTTAGGGACAGTTTCTGCTATATACATTTTCCCCTGTGTATGGACCACACTTTCTTGTTTCTTTGCATGTCTCATACGTTTTTGTTTCATTCTGGACATTTGAAATGTGGCAGTTCTGATAATCAGATTCTCTCCCTCCCCACCCCCACCACAACCACTCAGGCTTTATTGTTGCTACTTGTTGCTGTTGCTGGTTGTTAGTGAGTTTCCTGAACTACTTCTGTATAGCCTGTGTTCTTTGTTATGTGTGGTCACTGAAGTCTCTGTTTGCTTAGCTTAGTGGACAGCTAATAATTGGATAGAAGTATCTTTAAATGCCTGGAGTCAGTATGCATGTGTGTTGGGGCATCTTCAGCACGTAGCCAGACTGAGTGTTCTTGCAGTTCTTACCAAGATTTAGCCATTTTTCTCAAATAAATGCTCCTCAGATCGTTGCAAGCCTTTGGTCAGTTTCCAGAGTCCTAAAGTTGATTCTGACCAATGGTGCGTGTGTTCTTATTGCTTTTATGGAGGAGAGAATTTTCAGAGGTCTTTACACCACCATCTTCACTGACATCACTCCAGGAAGTGCATTTTGAAACGAAAAGATATCACTTATTTTGCTTGCGAAATTAGAATACATTAGAGAAAATGAGAGTAACCAGTGTGGGCAGGGATTCAGTGAAGCAGACATTTTTCATACATGTGGGCAGGAACATAAATTGACACATTTGTGGGGAGCAACGGCACGTATCAATAATATTTGTAACACTGTGACACTGATGTGTTAATTTTACAAATAGAAATCTGGCCCAAAGAAGTCATCTGGAAAGGAAAACAGGCACATAAGTGTATCCATCTCAGTGTTTATGCCCCAGAATTGGAAGCTACCTGCATACGCAGGAGTAGGAAATAAGCTATGTATAAAGTCGCATCAACAGGGCAGTCTCAGTTACACAAGGAAAGTCAAAAGATGGAAGCAAAATATGCCAAACGTTAATAATAGTTGCCCTTGGTTGTGGGACTGTGGGGACTCCGTCCCAATTGTTGATACTTTCTTGTACTTTCCAGAGTGTGGTGGAAATGAGAAAGTAAGTGAGCAAAGTCAAGGCGGGGCTGGCGCCTGCCTGGGGCCTTCAGCATGAGCCCTGGCTCCCGTCCCAGACATGGACCCTGCATTGTGGGGCAAGGGAGAGGGCTATTCTCAGCTCTGGCCTTGACTTCAGTCCACTGGAACCAGCCCTGCCCCAATCTAATGTGTCCTCAGCTCCTGGAACTCCCCAGAGACGGGAATTTGGCTCCTCTTTCTGAGCCTCCCTGCAGGGGAGCACACTAACCACACAGGGCTTTTCTGCCCCGGCCCCAGCCCTGGTCACCAGGCCCACATGCCCGTCCCTCCTATTTGAAGGTTCCCTGAGGACCCACGCACCTGGACCGTGGATCGCCAGCTCTTGTGGGGGGAGGCTGTCCTCATCACGCCAGTGCTCGAGGCCGGGAAGACTGAAGTGACCGGCTACTTCCCCTCGGGCACATGGTACAACCTGCAGACGGTCAGTCCCGGGGACCCTGAAACCTGGGAGGACAGAGGAGAGCAGAGCCGCCCCTCCCTCCTGCCCTGTCGGGGTGACCAAATGGTGGGAGGGACAGCATCTGTTTGCTGGAGAGGGTCCTGGCTACATGCTGGGCCCTCGCCTGGGTGGTCTGTGCACATCCCATCCACTCCTCACAGTAACTCCATTTTCCATATGAGGAAACTGAGGCCTGAGCAGGTACCTTGCCAGGTCCCACAGACATCATGGTGGCTGCACTGAGCTGGTGTTCTCTGACCTGCTCCCTACCCTGGATCCTGGATCCAAGCCTCTCAGATTCTGTCCCCACTAAGTGACTGGGGGAGTCCTTGCAGTGAGCCCCAAGTCTGCCCCTGAGGCCACAGTCCCGCTTGTCCCTGCCGGGCCTCCTGGGCCTGCACCTGGAGCCCTCAGGGGATGGGAGAACCCAGCTCCCAATGACACTGTGGGGGCTTTGGCACTGCCAGGGACCCTTCTCAATGGGACATCTCCCTCCAGGTGCCAATAGAGGCCCTGGGCAGCCTCCCACCTCCACCTGCTGTGACCCTCACGCCTGCCATCCACAGCAGAGGGCAGTGGGTGACACTGCCAGCCCCACTGGACACCATCAATGTCCACCTCCGGGCCGGGTACATCGTCCCCCTGCAGGTAACTGGGCCAGGCAGCCCTGGTTGGGGAGTGGACGCCACAGTGCGGAGCCCAGGGGAGATGCAGGGAACTGGGGACAGGAGATGGCTGCTGAGGAGGGGCCACCCCATGCAGAAGTAGAGCAAGGAGCCCAGGCAGGAGGGAGGCACAGCCCTGCAGAGGCACAGGGTGAAGCGGGCACTCCCTCGGGCAGGCCTGCATGCTGGAGGCTCTGCCAGGGCCAGCCTCCTGGTGGGCATGGGGTGGCACTCGAAGTGGGGAGGGTCTAAGGCCTGTCTGACTGGCTTCAGCCAGGTTGGTCACCCTGGGTGTTCAGCTCATTTGGCCATTGGCTGCCCTGCAGATCCCAGGCTAGGGTCCCCCACCCACCCTGGTGGCCTCTGCCAGGGTTGGGACAGTGACATCATGTGTCCTCCCCCTCCCCAGGGTACCGGCCTCACAACCACGGAGTCCCGAAAGCAGCCCATGGTGCTGATTGTGGCCCTGACCACGAGCAGGGAGGCCCGAGGGCAGTTGTTCTGGGACGATGGGGAGAGCCTGGGAGCACTGGAGCGCGGGGCCTACACGCAGGTCACCTTCCTGGCCAGGAACGTGAGTTGGGGACCTGCCCTGACCTGGCAAAGGGTGCTGGACTGGGGTCCCAGGATGCCTACCATCCTTGGGCGAGGCACTCCACCAGGCGGGTGGGCATCCCAGAGCCGTCTTCGTGTGGCGTCCCGCTCTGCCCTCCCTCGTGCACACAGAGGACAACGTGCCTCTGATGCTGTCATGAGCACTCGGGTGTCTGCTGACGTCTCTGCACTCCTTGTCTTTCCATCTCTGCTCGGGCCAGAACACCATTGTCAATGAGCTGGTACATGTGACCAGGGAGGGGGCCGGCCTGCAGTTGAAGACGGTGACTGTCCTGGGGGTGGCCACGGCCCCCCAGCAGGTCCTCTCCAATGGTGTCCCTGTCTCCAGCTTCACCTACAGCCCCGACACCAAGGCAAGAGGCCCCGTCGGGAGCAGCGGGCTCTCGTCTCCCGGCGGGTACAGGGGCGGGAGATGCTGAGATCCTGGTGACCCAGTGACCACCAAGCAGGGTCATGGAAATGCTGTTCGGGGGGCAGAGAACACGTGGACCTTACCAGGGGTGGCCAGGATCTTGGTCCTTGGGGGAGGAGTGGAAGGGTTGGCCCCACACGAGTGTCTGCATTTGGAGGGTTGGGGGCCGTGCCAGGGACCTGCAGGTGGTGGTAACCAGCACCTCGTTGGCACTGGTCCCCTGCGTCAGCCAGGGAAGGAGCAGGGCATGCAGCCCCCAGGGCTGGGACAGATGCCCATGTCCCGACTCCCGTCTCCCGAGCGCTCAGGGTCTCGCTGTTGTCGGGAATTGCTTGGTGGTCAGTTTTTCTTTCTTTCCAGATCCTGGACATCCCCGTCTCGCTGCCGGTGGGAGAGCAGTTTCTCATCAGTTGGTCTTGACCGGGGGTGGCAGCGTGTTGATCTTCACAGAGGGAGACTGGTGTCCCAGCAGGCAAAGCCTGTGCCCACCTGCCCTGGCACTGTCACCAGGGCTCCCTCCTATGGGTCATGACACACATGACCTTGAATTCTCCTCCCCTTATCCTGCAGTTGGGCAGTGCCCCTGAGGGTCGCTCTGTGCTCAGAATGTTGCAGTGTAAGGTTTGCCTCCCCCAGCCTGTTGCTGGCATGCAGATAGCTGCCACCAGCTGTCTGAGATGCCACAGAAGGTGGCACCCAGGATGGGGAATGTCGCATGTGCCCCCAGGGTCATGCCATGCTGCCACCGCTGCTGACCAGATAAGGGGACGCAGCTGGGTGCCCCCTGCAGGCTCCCCAGAAAGCATCCACCAGTCCAAGTATGAGCCCGGGAGCTCAGGAGAGTTGGCAGGACTCGGGGAGTTTCATTTCCAGGGTGATGACTTCTAATAAAAGGCGTGTTTGGAAATAGGCCTCTGCTGGTCCTTCTGGGACTCAGGGAAGGCAGGACAAGTCCAAGGGCCACGAAATGGAGGCAGCCACTCCACAGTGAGCCCCTGGATGTTCTGGGGTGTTCCACGTCTGTCACCTCACGTCCCCACGTCACCCTCATGTCCCAAAGTCACCCTCATGTCCCAAAGTCACCTCATATCCCATCACCTCACATACTTGTCACCTCATGTCCCCACGTCATCTCATGTCTCCACATCATCTTAGGTCCCCATGTCACTGTCACTTCTCTACATCACCCTCACATCCCACATCACCTCACATCCCCACATCATCTCTGGTCCCCACATCACCTCACATCTCTACATCACCCTCACATCCCCCATGTCACCTCACGTCCCTATGTCACCCACCTCTAAGGTGACTGGATAATTTAGAGCTGGACGTGGTGTCAGAGAAGCATATGGTGGGAGGTGTGGGCCCCCGGGGCTGTGTGGAGAAGAGGACCTGGGAAGGGACTTCCCAACAGTGGGCCAAAGACCCTCGGCAGAGGCCAGAGGTCTGTCCCCAGGTGACATGGTAGAGGAGAATTCAGGCCCAGGTCCCGCTGGCAATCCCAAGGAAAGGAAAAGGAGGTAACGGTGCCAGCAGAACCACCGTCATCAGCTGGTCAGACGCTCCATCACTTAGAACAGGTGGCGCCAAAGCGCCCAGCCCTGAAGCCTCTGCAGAGGGACAGATTATTTTCGTCGCCTTCCTTCCTGAAACCCAGTAGAAAGCGCAGTGACATCCTGTGGAGCAGCCCGGCTGACCGGGTGGACGAGCGCCCCCTGACTTTGGGGGTGGCCCGGAGCCCAGGCCGGGACCTGAGCCCCACCTGCCCCTTCACTGTGCAGATCGTCTTGGCTGAGCCATGTGCAAGCTGGACGTAGTAACGACAGTAATAGCAGGTATCGCTTCACCCTCATCCTAGTCCCCCGTGGGGTTAAGAAGCCGAGGTGCTTGTCGTGGGCCAGGCCCAGCAAAGTGGCACAGAGGGGACTGTATTAGTCCATTTGTGCTGCTATAACAGAACACCTGGGACTGGGTCATGTATAAAGAACAGGTTTATTTGGCTCACGATTCTGGGACAGCTGCATCTGGCGCGGGCCTCAGGCTGCTTCTACTCATGGCGGAAAGCGGCAGGCAGCCGGGGGTGCAAGAAGATCACATGGCGAGAGGAAGCAAGAGAGAGAGAAAGACCCTCCTCTTCTTTTAAAGCCCTCAGAACCACGCCCCTGCCCACCACTATTAATCCATTCACTCCTGCACGGTCCTACAATCCAGTCACCTCTTCAAGGCTCCACCTTTCAATTACCACGATAGGATTTCCCACCCTCTTAACAGTCACAGTGGGGGCTAAGCTTCTAATACATAAAACTTGGGTACACAATTCAAGCTCCAGTGAGTTTTGGGGGGACATAATTCAATCCACTACAGGGACAATCAATTCAGGGGAGTTTGCCTGCCCTGCCAGGGTCCCTCAGGCATGTTTTCCGGGAAACCACGGAGCAGATGGCAGGTGTACACACCTGCGTGGTTCCCCTGCTCCCAGGTAACCAGAGAGAAAACAGCACACGGGGGAGGACACCCCACCTCTTAACAACACCTCACTGGGGATTAGGTTCCAACATCGGAACCAAGGGACACGAACATTCAGACCACAGCACAGGGGGGCGGGGGCCTGGGTGAGGAGCCCTGCGTGGGGCGGGCTGGCACCCCGTGCGGGGCGGGGAGGGCAGCCCCTTCTGCCCTCTGAGGCCGGGGCCTGCTCGCAGGGTGGTCCACGCTGCACAGCTTGGCACATGGGACGCTGGCCCGCAGGCCCTTCAAGGCAGTGGCCAGGATGGCTTCGTCTCTGTTCTGACCAGTGCCCGACAGGCCCTGCCACACAGTAGGAGCTTATTAAACCTGGGTGACTTTTGAAGTGATGTGGGGTGTGGACACCAGGGAGCCTGGTGGTGGAGATGTCCCAGTGCCTGGGGTGTTCGGCCTGGCGCCCGTGCCTGGGAGAAGACAGCCCGGCTCTTGCAGCTCAGCCCCGGCCTCTCCCCTCCAGCCGGGCCTCCACGGCAGGGCCCATTGCTCAGAATGAAATGCCCTTGGTTGATGCTCCAGGCAACAAGTTATACTGTGTGCATGCGGCCACCAGCTCCATGGCACGGGACCATGGAGACCCAGGGCCCCGTGCTGGCTTTACTACAGCACTGTCACCATCTTGACATCCTTAATAACTTTTAACCAGGGACCGCCGCATTTGCATTTTGCACAGGGCCCTGCAAAGTGTGCGGCCCGTCCTGGGGCAGGGATATGCTTTCCCTCTTGTGTACGTGGGCACAAGTGCATGCAAGTGCTCCCTTTCTTTCCTCAGCTAGTGAGGAATGGACCTGGAGGCCTGCAGCTGATGACAGAAGCCAGGCAACCAGTTGCACGTGTGACACAGTGACACTAGCCAGGGCCTGGCGTGGGGCCGAGCAGATCCTTAGTGTTTGGAAGAGGTTGGTCCTTCCAGGCCCACTCTGAGGAGAAAGCAGGGTGCTGGCCGGCGGCCGCCCCCTAAGTGCATCTCAGCCACCTTGCAGCCTTCCTTGGTGTAATCAGTGACATCGATTATGGATGGTGTCACCTGCAGAGAAGCCCACTAGCGCCTGATTCCTATTCTTCCTGACCCTGGTGGCGGCCCAAAGAGGAGCTAGGAGAAGAGAGGGTTCCTCTGTACCACCCATCCTCGCCACACCTGCCCACGCTTGGAGGCCTGCAAGAGGCCACACTGCTGGGATTATGCCGGTGAGGGCCGCAGAGGGAAAGCCTGGCAAGAGGATCTAGTTGGAAAGGGCTGGTCACCCACGTGCACAGCAAGAAGTAGAACGCAGCTCAGCACCAGCAGCGGAGACTGACTGCTGCAGCGTCGCCCACAGCTGCTCCCCTGAGCAACTCTGCGTGTGACGCAGAAGCCAGTCCCCTGCGAGCAGCAGAGTGACTCCAGCTGCCTCACCAGGACGGGGTCTGCGGGAAGAGCAGAAACCCAAGCACGGAGGTGCAGCCACAGCCACACGAGGAACTCAGTGTTCCTCGTTCTCCCAGTGGGCGCTGGGCACCTACTCTGGGCCAGGCTCGGCTCCAGGCACTTGGATACAACAGCGACTGAAACAGACAGAAACCCTGTCGTCATGGTGCCCACACTATAGAGGCGTAATTAATGGACAAGACACCTTACATTCTTTAAATGAAGAATTTGATCAGTTTTGACATGGGTAGGTATCTGTAAAACCAGCATCTATGATTAAGATGCTGAACGTACCCATCACCCCCAATGTGTCCTCCTGCCCCTTGGTAATACCCTAATCCCAATCTTTGGGCAACCACTGATTGGCAACCACTGGTCTGCTTTTCATCAGTATACTTTCCATTTTCTAGAATTTTATAGAAATGGATTTTTTGGTCTCACTAATAATACTCAGCACAGTCTCAGAGTCATCCGTGTTGATGTGTGTACCAACACCATCTCCTTTCTGATTGCTAACTAGTTTCCATCGCATGGGTATGCCACGATTTGTTTGTACTCCTTTAATGGACATTAGGATTGTCTTCAGCATTTGACTATTATGAATAAGGCTACTACGAGCAGCCATGGACAGGTCTTGGATAGCCATGATTTCATCTCTCTTGAGCAGACACCAAGGGTGATGTGGTCACTTCACAGGGGAGGTACATGGGTCGTGTGTTAAGAAACTGCCAAACTGTTGCCAAATGGCTGCAGCCCTTTGCAGCCCGATGAGCAACGTGTGAGAGCTGCGGCTGCTTCACGTCTGTGCTAACACTTGGTGTGGTCTGTTTCATCTTAGCCACTCTGGCAAGTGTGTCCCCAGTGTCTCACCATGATTCTTACACTTCCCTGATGACTAATGACGCTGAGCATCTCTGTGCACTTCCTGTCATTTATAAATCTTCTTCGGTAACATGCCTGTTCAAATCTTTTGCCCACTGTTAAATTAGGCTGTCTTATTATTGAGTTATAAAATGCAAGGGGTGTTCAAAAAGTTCACAGAAAGATTTGCGTTATCTTTCTTTTCTTAAGTTTTTGTTTTTGCCACCCTCGTGAGGGGTATCATATTACCTTTTAATTCCATTTTTCCATGAATTTTCTCAAGTATCATTGTTCATTAATTTTCTATTGCTACCACAACACATTACCACAATTTTAGTGGCTTAAAATAACACAAATTTACTTTATTACGGTTCTGTAGATCAGGAATTTAACACAAGTCTCACCTGGCTAAAATCAAGTGTCAGCAGGGCTGCTTTCCTTCTGGAGGCTCTAGGAGAGACTGTTTCCTGCTCGTGCAGGCATCTGGCATAATTTGCTTTCAGGCAGCTGCAGAACTGGGGCCTCTGTGTCCTTGCTGGCTGTGAGCCAGAGGGCCCTTAAGCTTCTTGAGACTGACCTATATCTTGGTGCATGGCCCTTCTTCTCCCAAACCAGCTGAGTCCATCTCATGCCTGAGAGTCTCCTTTGCCACCATATTATTCTCTGACCAACTGTAGCCAGAGAACACTCTTGACTTTTAAGGGCTCATGTGATTAGATTGGGTGCACTTAGGTAATCCGGGAGAATCTCCCCATTGCCAGATCTTAATCACATCTGCAAAGTTCCCTTTGCCATATAAGTTGACATTTTCACAGGGTCCAGGGGTTAAGACACAGGAATCTTTGAGGACCATTATTCCATGTACCACATACAGGCTCTTTCTATATTCTGGAAGTAAGTCCTTTGTCAGATACATGCTTTGCAAATATTTTCCCCCTGTCTGTGGTTTGCCTTTTTACTTTCATACCAGTGTCTTTTGAAGAGCCAAAAAATTAATTTTGAAGAATTCACTTTATTTTTAATATCCTTTTAAAGAATATCTGCCAAACCCGGGGTCACTAAGATTTTTCTTGTTTTCTTCTCCAGGTTTTGCAACTCCAGCTCTTACGTTT